TCCAGATAATTTCTTTCTATTTTTTAGTAGAGACAGGGTCTCGCTCTTGCTCAGGCTGGTCTCGAACTCCTGACCTTGAGTGATCCACCTGCCTCAGCCTCCCAGAGTGCTAGGATTACAGGCGTGAGCCACCGTGCCCGGCCAGGAAAGATTCTTAAAAGCAGAATTACTGATTAGAGAAGCACAAGTTTTTCCTTTTTAACAGCTTTATTAAGATATCATTCATATTCCATCAAATTTGCCCGAGTGTACAATTCATGATTTTTGGTATATTCACAAAGTTGTGCAACAATCACCACAGTCTAATTTTAAGATATTCTCATCACTTCAGAAGAAATCCCATCCCCATTAGACAGCACTCTCCGTTACCCCTCCCCCTGCCCCTGGCAACCCCTAATGTACCGTTTCTATAGATTTGTATATTCTGGACATTTCAATATAAATGGAATAATACGTATGTAGTCTTTTGTGGCTGGTTTCTTTTACTAGCACGATGTTTTCAGGTTTCATCCATGTTGTAGTATGTATCAGTATTTGTTTTTATTGAATACTATTTATTATATGGATATACATATACATTTTATTTATCCATTCATCAGCTGATGGGCATTTGGGTGGTTTCTCCTTTTTGGCTAGGAACATACATACACAAACTTTTGTGTGGGTTTATGTTTTCATTTCTCTTTGGTATGTACTTAGGAGTGGGTTCCTAGATCATATGGTAACTATGTTTTAAAATCTGAGGAAATGCTGTTTTTCGAAGTGACCACGCCGTATTACAATCCCACCATGAACATACAAGAGTTGCAAGTTCTTCACATTCTTGACATTTGTCATTATCTGGTTTTTAATTTTAGTCATCCTTATTGTGGTTTTGATTTGCAATTCTTTGATAGCTAATGATGTTGAACATCTGTATGCATTCTGGAAGTCTTTCATCAGATATGCGATTAGCAAATTTCTCTCCTATTTTATGCTTTCTTTTCACTTTCTTGACAGTATACTTTGAAGCACAAAAGTTTTTAATTTTGATGAAGTCCAATTAATGTATTTTTTTCAGTCACTTGTGCTTTTGGTGTTGTATCTAAGAAGGCTTGCACTACCTCCAACGTCATGAAGTGTTACTCCCATGTTTTTTCCTAAGAGCTATATGGTTTTAGCCCTCACACTTCGGTCTATGATCCATTTTAACCTAATTAGCATGCAGAGTGAGGGGCAGGAGTCCAACTTCATTCTTTTGCATGTGGATATCTAGTTATTCCAGCATCAATTTCTGAAAAGACTATTCTTTCTCCATTTAATTATCTTAATATCCCTGTTGAAAATCAATTGACTGTTTATTTCCTGGGAAGGTTTATTTCTGGTCTCTCAATTCTATTCCGTGGATTTATTAGGTTATTAAGTATGAAATATCTGATTTCCTTAAGGACTAAGTTTGACAGTTGATATCTCTGACATTTCTTGTTTTATTTTTACTGTGAAGGTACATCCTCAGTCTTTCAAATGCATGTTTTGGCTTGTGAGATTATCTTTCAAATTTTTTTTTAGAACAATTTTTGTGAAACCATGGATAAGTAAAAAATTCATGTTATTTTAGAATATGCGTTCTATTGTGGAACCAATGCAGCGCAGACAGCACAAAATACCAACAAAGTGTTTGGGAAGGATGTGGCTGATGAACACACAGTACGTCGATGGTTTGAGAAATTCTGTTCTGGTGACTTTAATCTTGAAAATGAGCCACGTGGGTGACCTGAGACCAAGGTGGATAATGATGAGCTGAAAGCTGTAGTGGAAGCGAATCCATCTCAGCCCATGCATGAATTAGCAGCAAGGTTCCAACAATGTTGGACCATCTGAAAAAAATCAGCAAGGTAAAAAAGCTGGATAGACGGCTTCCGCATGAATTAAACAAGTGTCAGCAGAGAAACTGTCTTGAAAATTGCCTTTCTTTGCTGTCACAACATTAAGGTGAACCATTTCTACACCATGTTGTTACGTGTGATGAAAAATGGATTCTTTTTTAAATCGAAAGCGTTCACCACAATGGTTGGACAAAGATGAAGTTCCAAAACACAGTCCAAAACCAAATACTCATCCAAAAGAGCTAATAGTGTCTGTTTGGTGGTCCAGCGCTGGTATTATCCACTACAGATTAATGAAACCTGGTCAACTGATTACAGCGGATGTCTACTGCAACCAACTGGATGAAATGATGAGGATACTTGTGATGAAGTGGCCGATATTGGTCAACAGAGACAGGCCGATCCTCTTGCAAGACAGTGCTCGACCACATGTCACACAATGTTGCTCAAACTACAGCAGCTGGACTTGGAAACTCTGTCATCCACTGTATTCACTAGACCTTGCACCAACTGACCACCACTTCTTCCAGGCTTTGGACCACTTCTTGCAAGGAAAAATATTCAATTCTCAACAAGCTGTGGAAAATATCTTTCACAATTTCATCGCCACTCACTCGCCAGGCTTCTTTGCTGCTGGCTTAAACAAGCTACCGTTAACATGGCAGAACTGTGTCGACAGTTTAGGCGCATACTTTGATTAATTGTACTGCTTCTCCGTTGAGATATAACAAAGATACACTGCTGATTTGTAATTGGACATTTCATATTTAATGACCTAATGTCTGTCCTGCCGGTATCACAGCGTGTTGACTACTACAGTTTTGTAGTATGTTTTGAAATCAGAAAGTGTGAGTCTTCCAAGTTTATGCTTCTTTTTCACAATTGTTTTAGCTGTTCTGGGTCCCTTGAGTTTCCATACGAATTTTAGAATCAGCTTTTCAATTTCTGCAAAAATTCCACCTGATGAGGCTCTGTTTGGCTTATCCTATTTGACGGTAGCCCAGCTTCTTGATGGTGTAGGTGTCTATCTTTTGCCAAATTTGAGAAATTTCAGTCATTTCTTCAAAAGGTATTTCTTTGAATACTTTTTTTTTTCATCCTCATACTCTTTCTCCTCTCCTTCTGGGATTCTGAACACATGAATTTTAGACTATGTTCAAAGTCACTGATTCTTTCCTCTGACCATCGTATTCTGCTGTTGGGCCTACCCCCAAGCTTTTAATTTTGGTTATTGAGATTTTTCAAATCCAAAATTTCCATTTGCTTCTTTATATAGTCTACTTCTTGCTTACAACTTATATTTTCATTTGTTTCAAGTGTGTTTGTTAATTGCTCAATGAAGCTTTTCTATGATGGCTGCTTTAAACTCCTTGTCAGATAATTCCAATTTCTGTGTGTATCGGTGTTGGCACCTGTTGATTGTTTCTTTTCACTCAAGAGAGATTTTCCTGATTCTCGTATAAGGAGTGATTCTCAGTTGTATCCTATCACACCAATAGGACTCCGGATCTCACTTGAATCTTCTGTGTCAGCAGGCCTCCTCTCACACCATGCGTCTTAGTCTGTTCAGGCTGCTATAACAAAATACCATCACCTGGGCAGCTTATGAACAAAAAATTCATTTCTCATAGTTCTGGAGGCTGGGAAGTCCAAGATTAAGGAGCTGGCAGATGCAGTGTCTGGAGAGGGCCTGCTAGCTGGTTCACTGATGGCACCTTCTCACTGTGTCCTCACACGGTGAAAGGGGTGAAAAGCTCCCTCGTGCCTATTTTACGATGGCCCTAATCACCTCCTAAAAGGCCCCACTTCCTAATACAACCACCTTGGGGTTGGGATTTCAACATATGAATTCTGAGGAGACATAAACATTCAAACCATAGCACCACGCCAGTTCTATGCTGGTAGGGAAAGAAAAATGTTGTCTCATTATTTCCTGATAGAGATGAAAGTCTCGAGGTCCCACTGACATTTGGGGGGCAGGAGGGTGATGTGCTTCCTTACTGAGTGAAGGTGAAAGTTCAGGCTCCCTGCAGGCTGGGAAGGGAAGAGGTGCCTCATTACTGCTCCTCACAGGGCCTTCACTGACAATGTAACTATGAGCCATTTTTAAAAGGTACACAATGTACGCATTAAAAATGTACACATTTGTGCACATGAAAAAAACCACACACGATTAAATGACAGTAGCAGACACTGAGAGACAGATATGGGTTTCCTTATTTCTTTCGGCCAGTCAACAGGAATGCACATCCCATATTGGTTAAATGTTACTATAAAAATTTTATAAAGTACTACAGAAAAGTTGTTACGTACCCATTGAGTTCTTTGCACATAAGGCAATATGTAGTAAGAAATTTTAAAAGAGCTATCTTATATTTTAAATTTTAAGTCATCTCTATAAATAACAATTGACCTAGACATCTATGTGTCAAATAAATCCATTTTTAACTTGAAACAAGCAGAATAAAAGTTAAGATGGTCAAACTAGGCTGCATAAATTACTCAGTATCAACTGACCTCAGCATACTTAGCTCTAAGAAGGAGCTTCAATTTTATCATGAAGTACTTGCATATTTTCGTCTCATTCTATCATACAAAACACTAAACAGTGAAAATCTCAAATGAGAAAATAAAACGAAGCTTACCTTCGCTGCTGGCAGCATGTCCAAGGAGTCCAGTATGAACAGCACTAATGCCTGCATCAGCATCATAAATTGATTAAATTGCCATGTCAGGCTAAAGAGAAAAGTTGATATGAAAATGGCAAGAAGTGTCAGCCTCTGTAAAAAGAAAACCTTTGTATAATTTACATGTCTCTAGTAATAAAAAACCTTGCAGACAAGTTTTATCAAGAGCAGCCAATATCTCTATAAACCAGATAGAAAAGCCATACACTGTTGCTCTGAAAACCCTTGCATTTGTTACTTAAGCTCTAAATATCATCAAGTGACACTCTGCATATAAATATTCACATACGCTATGTGTATTCCACACTGTTATGGAGGCAATAATGCACCAAATCACATCTCAAGAGCAATGGCTTAAAAATTCTGACAGTTTCTCAGAAACTGTGTGTGGGTTTGCTCCAACTATTTAAGGGTAGATTATGTAGAGGACATTTTTAACATCAAAAATGAAAACATTTTCTTTGGAAAGTGGAAAAAGCTCAGATAAAGAATTTAATTTAACTCGAGTTAAAAAAATTGGTCACGGAACAAGTACTATTCACATGCATTGGGACACTATGCACATTGCATTTTTTGAAGTTTCTTATATAAAATTGGGGAATTAAGACATATATAAACTTTTATAAAGACTTACTTCAGAAAGAGGCTGTAAGTTTGGTCTCAAGAAATACGTAATTGCTGCTATCTGAATTGCAAAGAATGGCAGTGCCCAGTTCTCCCTCAGTGGGATGGTAAACTCAACTCTTGTGGTATCTATTCTGCACAAAAGAAAATACGGATGGCCAAAATAATTTTTACGATAATTTCCTCAAAGATTTCCTAAAGTGGAAGATGTATTACATTAAGGATAAGTATACTTAGATTTTGGTCACTGGTTCTCAATAACTGTCCTCACCATCATCATCATCCCCGTGCCAATTGAGAAAATGTAAGTGATCTGTCCACGGCTATGCTTTGGTTAAGTGGTAGCACCGGCGTTCAAGCCCACGCCAGCATGACTCCTAAACCCATGAATGTATCACACCAGCACCTCTTACTTTTACTTCTAACTTCATTAATGTTAGCAGGCAATGCTATGCATTCTCTTTCTCTGTACTTCTTCAGTGCTTTATATTTTAGTCTTAAGTTTGTCTTTGGCAATAATTTTTAAAGGCTTCCTGCCTCTCTAGAATGTGAACCCCAAGAGGGCAAGTACAATTTTTCATCTTTGTACACTGAGCATCAAGACCACGCCTGCACATACTAGCCATTCAATGAACGATACACACAAAACACACACCTACATGTGAGAGTATGCGTATACAAAAAAACTAACCTTTTAAGCCTCAATTTACTCATCTCCAAAATGGGGATAATGACAGTACCTACTGTATAAGGTTGTTAAAAGAATACATACAAAGCATTTTGTAAAGTACTTGGCATATAGTTAAGCACCCAATAGGATTATAATAAAATAATTTGCTCAGGATTACCAAAAAAAACCCCTATATTAGAACTCATGTTCAAGTTTTAAGACTCCTACTTACTGTCGGTATTGCTACTGTAGGTCAGGCAATAATTCAATATATCTTGAATACGTTTTTTTAAAATGCTATTTCATAAGGCTCCAATGCTAATCAATTAATAATAGATATTAATTAGACAATGTAAGAATTTCCTTGCATTTGTACAGCTTTGCTAATTGAGAGGTGCACACAACCCTATTGAGATGGATAGTGAAAATATCATTAAAAACTCTTTAAGGGGTGAGCTGTGTGGCTGGAGAAATACTGATCACATAGCAATCAAGTAACAGAATTAGGATTATTACGGATGATACCCTTTACTTGCAATTCAATGTTCTGTTCCTCAGCTCGAAATACACATAAGTAGCACTTTCTACCTTACCAAGTAAGAAACATTTATACCACTAGGTAAACCAAAGAGAAAATGCTCCTACCCAAACACACGTGGCAGAAGAAATTTCTGTAACTACAAATGAAGTAACTGCATTTTTACTCTCATTTTAGAAGGAAGAGAGACATACTGATTCCAACCCACCTATTTGTGACATACCACAAGGCTGCTAATAGTCCCGATAGCCACGTGCCACTGAGGAGCCAGCTGGTTATGTAAAGAGCTGTGACATAGATCGCCTGCAGTCCAAATAAGGTGTAAATATAAAAATAAACTGGCTCTAAATATTTCTGTAAAGGGAACAATAAAAAATGTTTGTCAGAGAAGCCCTAACCCTCTTCACTGTCATTTAGAAACTATGACAGTAGAAATGTCATATTCAGAAGCCCGCTGTGACTTCCCAGCAGTAAGCCACACCACCCCTCTTCATACGGGAGTCTGCCAGCAGCCTTTCCTCCCACTACCACGACAAGAGGGAAGTCCCTGAGAGTCTAGCTTCATTCTTTACTCTAGACCAGTTTTACACATGACTTCGTCCAATTTTCATTGTGATTTGGTAATTTTATAATTTTTTAATCTGAATGATAAATCAAGAGTGATTATACATTTCCAAATGAAAATATTTACCAGCTTCTAAGACTGCACACATATATTACAATATATGCCAGGAAGCATACATGTACAAAAATCTTAAATCTTATATAAATAAAAAGCAGTATCTATGTATATATTAATAGAAAGCGAAGTTCATAATATACATGGAGAAAATTAGGGTATTGCTGATTTTCTACCAAACCAGTTGAAGGCCAGAAGAACATACGTAACAACTTTCAACTCAAAATGGCAGATTTTGACTTTCGTCTGATATTAACAATTCAATGTCGCGGAACACAACATACCTGTATGGGTAGAACTCTATATAAAATACTGAGAAAAACCTCTTGGTAAATATTCATTCGTTGAAGGAGGTTAATTGTCCTCATAGATTCAGTTTTATTATCATATATCAAGCCGTGAAAACCTAAGATTGATATTTGAAAGATCAGGAAGAAAATAATTACACTTATAATTATTTACTCATTCAAAACTATTCATAGATTCTTTAGTATGTGCCAGGGAGTATGGAAGGCACTAGGGATATAATAGCAAGAAACACAGTCCTATCCTCAAAGAGCTCACACTACATGGACATTATTTAAGTGTTTACAAAAACACAGGTAAATTAGAACTTTTGTGATGGCAATGAAAAAAACCCACACGGTTCTTCTACAGGAATTCGGGCAAGGGGATTTTATATCTCCCAGCCTTGCCCTCCTGCCACGCGACCTGCACTATCTCCTCTGGGAGAGTGTTCTCCCTGAGGGAGTACCCTCTGGGAGAGCAGCATTCCCCACTCCCCAGCTTGGGTTTGGCCATCTGACTCGCTCTGACCGATGGCATGTGAGCGGATGTGCCACAGAACCCACGTGAGCAGAGGCTTTAAGAGACCACAGTAATCCACACAAAGGAGCACTATGCAGTCGCAAAAAGGATCGGTATCTTTATTTTCTATTATAGAGTGATCCCCAAGATTTTTATTAAGTGAAAAAAAAAAAATAGAGAACAGTGCATATACTATACAGTAAGCAGGTTTTTTTCTCTAACAATGGGGAAATATGAATGTATTGAAGTATTTGCTTATATTAAAAATATTAAAAGTGGAAGAATAAAACAAAAACAAAAATGGTTATCTATAAGAATGGTTACCTAAAGAGTAAGGAAGGAAACAGGGTGGAGGGAACAGGGATAGAAATGGACTTCTCTGAATGCTCCATTTTATGGTTTGACTTAGGAACTCTATAAACTTTTTAAATAAGTACAAAAAAGGTAAGTAAAAAATTTTACGATACAATCCCTGAAAACCGAAAGCAAGCTATAACAAAGAAACCTATTGAGTTGGTGGCTTGGTCACAAAAGAGGGAACTCTTTCAAGTGACTTGAAAACAGAGGAATGTGACTAGGTGGGTTGTATCCTAATTGAGAAAAAGAATTGCAAAGACAGTATGAACTATTTTCAGGTAATCACATAGTAGCAATATTATTATTGTTACTTTGAAAGTATCACACACATAGGAGCATAAAACAAGTGATAACCTTAACATCATATGGAATCCAAGTTTTCAACTTAGGGAGAAAAGAGAAACAAATACCAAACCAAAAAGTAAAAACCCTGTTATCCTAACTTTGAACTGAAAATAGGTATCTTCATATTTTCTCTTAGGAAAAAATACTCACATTTCCTAGCTCTGCTCACTAAAAAGGCCTAGGAACAATGACCAATCTAGTAGCAATAACTGTTCCTCATGCCCAACTGTGGTCTCCAAATAGCTATTAAAAATAACTGGAGCTCCTTTGACAAATGGCTGATTCCAGATCAGGGGTAGGAAATATACAAAATGCGGCTGAAATATCTTGTCATGCCCAAAAGCAAGGAGTTTTCAAAGAACCCTGGAGTCACGTCAAAAAGGCAACAACTTAATCTGAAAGGATTCCACTGGACAAAGATTGGGCAATTTGAATATAAGAATAATACAAAGGATCAAAACGCATCAATTATGTTAAAAATCCACGAGTTTATAATAATACTTATAAAGCAAAATCTTAAGAAGATGGTAGAAAGGCAACTCATTCTGAACACAATAAAGGGAAAGGCCAAACATTTTTCCTGCCTTTCCTTTATGAACTGTGTTATCAAATAGGTGATGAGAAAATGTTTTTCTTTAGAGATAAATTCTAATAACGATAGAATGAATGATAGAATTAGAGTATCACCATTTTAAGTCCTTATGAAATTAACAAATTTGGGTGATGGTCATCTGTGGTTCTAAATCGTTAGGTGAAAGGCTAATCAGGAACTTAATAACTGATGGATCAGTCTGAGCCCAAGAGAGACAGCCTAGACGTTATGTGCCCTCTGATATAACCGTATACGACACCATCTAGGAAGTATTCTTACCAAAAAGCACAACCTAAATCTGAGCAAGCCTCTAGATCTAACTACCAATTAACAGGAGGAAACTCAGGGAGCTGAGAAACATTACATGATGCCATGAGGTTCCAGTAAAATTTGGAAGGTGGAAAACTTCTTTATACAGTGAATCAGTGTTTTCAACAAAAAATTACACGAAAAAAGATGGAAAGATAACGACAGATTTAAAGAAGCAGTTAAAGATACATATCAACTATAATGTACAGGCTTCATTTGGATGTCTCAGAAACTGTATTAAAAATCTGTAAGGCCGGGCGCGGTGGCTCACGCCTGTAATCCTAACACTCTGGGAGGCCGAGGCGGGTGGATTGTTTGAGCTCAGGAGTTCGAGACCAGCCTGAGCAAGAGCGAGACCC